CAGCGGGTGGTGAGCAACTGCACGGTGCATTGCCCGTTTCTAATTTCTATTACTGTCACCGTTTTATTTTATTACCATTAGTAAACTGTTTCTATCTCAACCTGCAAGTCTCCCTTTGCCCCTCCAATTCCCTCCCCCATTCCCAGGTGGGGGAGGGAGGCCGAGCGGCTGCGTGGTTGTTAACCGCTTCTTAAACCCTGAAAAGATGTATTTAGCACGTCAGTATGATATGAACAGATAGCTGCTCGTCTAGTGGAATGGAAGACAAGTTCAGCTTTACCGATTCGTTCCTATGTTACTGAAAAAAGAACATGTCCCAGCACTCACTGAGTCTCAAGGTTAACTTGTTCTAAGAGCCTTGAAGTGACAGGGCAAACTTTCGGGTTTGATTTCAGAAGTGATCAGTAAAACAGAAAAAGATACGTGAGGAGAAGGCTGTTAAGCAGTTTCACAAAACAGTTTCCCAGGTTTTTGAAGCTCTGAAAATGACTCTGAGATATAAAGAGCTCTCGGTGTCCCTCAGCTGCATCACATTCACCATCGTCACTAGCTGGCAATTCACGTTCAATCTGTTGCTCTGAAGCAGCACAGCTGTGTTGAAGATTGCCTGGTGGATGGAGCTCACTACACGGCGATGTTTCAGGAGCTGCTTCTGAGGTTTCTGCCGTACCCACACTATCTTCAATAACCTGAAGGTAAAAAATGTCTGTTAATGCATTCTTAATTACCAGACAGACTAACTTCAAGCTGAGCTTCGTGAAACTGAGGACAGTGAAATGCTGCTTTTCCTTTCAGACCACCACCACGTGTAAAGTGGGAAACATACAATCTACTCCCTGCCACAGATAACAGTTCATGCGTTTAAGGGACAGAGAACAGACTATTCCATTTATGCAATGACACGCTCCATTTCTGCTCTTTCTGTTCCTGGATAACGATTTGCCACCACCCGTGAACGTGAGCAGTTTCACAACACAAGCTGCACACACGACCGGCAGCAATCGTCACGCTGCAGAACTTTCTGGACTGACCACAAATCCACAGGTCGTACAGACAGAGAACGCTTCCCTCTGCTTCTTCCAAGCCAACCAGCAGCCCAGTTCTCTTCTGCCAGGAAAACTCCTTTACCACACGCACAGTGGGAGGCTGTTTATTTGCTCCCTGGAAACGGTACGCAGAGAGCCGCGCTCCTGTCACAGAGCTCACCGCCTGGAGTTGAGGACCACACGCCTGCCACGCCAGGCCAT